TTAGGCTTTAAATAAAGAGTTGTGTTAGAAATTTTACTATCATTAGGAGGCGGTTTAAAAGACTGGAATTCCATTGTGTTGTAAGAAGTAAGAAATATTTATTGATTCCCAAATGGAGCTGAAAAAAAAAAAAAACCTTTCCTCTTTTAGAAAGTTGTGAATGACCCAGCAAGAGTTCTGGTAAGCTTTACTGAACTGAGCTGCTAATAGTTATTTAATGTTATTCTTCAGTGCGAAAGAATCTCCCTAGATTTTCCTTTTAATCTTTTTGAATTGCAGGCTCATAAACCTCTCTGATGAGTCCTGCCAGTGTTTTCTTAGATCCCACTGTGGAGACAATGGAGCCGCAGAATTCTTTCACCTCTTGTTGTCAGACAAATCCAATAGAACGCAAGGTCAGAAGGGCCTATACTTCTAAAGGTTGAAAGATTCTTTTTCAAGGAACCACATAAATTATTTGATTTTATCACTATATTCCTCGGGTACCTCTCTGTAACTATAATGCACTGCGTTCTCTCTGTCAGTAAATTTGGAAGTCCCTGTCTCTCTTTGGCTAAGCTTGTTAGCATTGCACAGGGTGAGAGCAGACCTTACTGTTCCTAGCCACCTTAGAGAAACGCTGAACCCATTCACTTCAAAGAATGAGGAATGGCGTAGTGTCACTGGACTCAAGGTGGAGCACGCCGAAGTCGGCCTGCTTCCTCTTCCCGAAAGGCTGTGTGGCTGTGCGCTGTTTTCTTGTGGCTATTCCATAGGAAGGATCTCCGATTTACAGTCTTGGCTCTGTTCCTTTTATTGAGTCACTCTGAGTTCACTTATATTTTCTCCACATTTTGAGTAGTTTTATGTTAATAGGAGAACTTTGCTAGAAGATTTGCCTTTCTGGATACCCATTAACATGTTTAATTGCAATTAGCAAAAATATTTATAATATATGATGCTACAGAAGGAAACTAACTTCTCTGTTTTCAAGATGCCATGCCTGATTAGTAGACAATTATCAAAGCTAATTACAGGGTTCCTGTGAGTTACTTTAGGGGATAGGCGAGAATTAAGTTTTCTAATTATAACCACAATGGTGGACAAGCAGAGATCATTGTTTAAAGAGAAAAAAAACATTGATTTGTTTGTGCTCCTTCCTTGTAATTGCAGTGGGGGTTTTGTGTGGGGGCAGGATTTGCTGTTGCCCATCCCTGGACACCTGTCTCTCAACAAAGGCTCTCGGTCACCCCCCACCGCCCACACTTTGAGTCACCTTTTACTTGTATGTACCCGCTGGCTCATTAGGCGTTCTCCAGGGATCCAATTTTCCTCTGAGCTAATCACCCCCAGCCTTTTTCAAAAGTAGTTAGATTACCTTTCTTTCAACTACACACTTTCCTACAAGGCCCTTCTTTCCCCTAACTTTTCCTTCCTTATTTCTTTCAAACGTTATAGCCACTAGCGTCTTAATGTACTGCCTTTGAAACCTTGTATTGAAGTATAACTTGCACAGAGAAAAGGGCACAATCTAAGTGTGTAGCTTGATGGGTTTTCACAACGAACGGACCCGTGTAACCAGAAGGCACCGGTGACCCTGTCCAGTCACCACACTCGCCCTCCCCCAACACCATAGGGTGGTTTTGCCTCTGACGTTTTGTTTAATGGGGAATATACAACACAGTATGTTTCTGTTTGTGTCTGACACTGATTTTTAAAGCCGGAACCCCCACAGGAGACTTAGACCATGTACACAAGATACCGCAGAACCTCAGAATGTTTTAAGAGACTCCTTTGAACTCTTTACCATTTGGGCAAGGTACTCACTAGTTTGGTATTTGATTTTCCCTTTTACCATGAAATACAGTCTAAGCTCATCTCTCCACCAGGAAATGAGTAACTACTCTAAAGATCCTGTGCACAGAAATAAAGGAGGAGAAAGTATAAAAGCCATGTTTTGGAGAGGTGGAATCGCAGGAAGGGTTATGCATGAAATAGTAACACGACAGGAGAAGAACAATAGCTTCCTAGCAGAGACGTGGAACAATAGGGAGCTGACTCGCTTGCCAGTTATATTTGTAAGTTATTTCTCATGTATTATTTTTAAATAAAAATGGCATGATGGATATATATGAATGGGTTGTCTTTTTGTACAATTAATATATTGTAGGTGCTCAAGATAGGTTAGGTTAAGAGAGCTGATTCATTTGTCATTGAGCTCTGCCTTATCTGATTTGATTTAATTGATTTCAGAATTACTTAAGACCTTCGTAAGATACCTTTGGTTACAAATTTAATTGCACCTGCTTTTCCCCAAAATGGGATCTTTATTCCTATTCTTCAAATCTATTAGGTCGTGTTACTTTTCTTTTTTTCTTTTTTTTTTACATATATACAAAAATGTGTCATGACTTTCTTGACAACCCAATAAAACAGCGTTTTAGTTCCTTATTCTAGCAGGCTATACTTCCTTCCTTCTCAGGAAGAAAGTAAAATGTGATAATACTTTTTTCCCCATCCATGAGATAGAATTTTGTTTTTAAATTAGGAGTGACTGAATATGTGGTCAGTGCCCTTTGAACAGAATATGGAAATTAAATTGTTGTGTTTAGTCCAGAAATTCCTTAGCGCACTGATATTCTGTATAAGATATCTGGTGGGCATGTAGAGATGAGGGAGCTATCTCTGACCACTGGGCAAAGTCTACACCTTTGGATTTTAGGGACAGTGTAAATATGAAGTAGTATAATATTTTACATACCTTAATAGAAAACCATGGTGAGTTCAAAATATTGTATGATCTTTTCATCTATTTTAAAATTGTGTAACTCACCAATAAAATTTGAACAGGCAGTTATTAAATATAATTAAATTGTAGGCATTCACACAACGGAACAAAGGGAAGCATTCTCAGCAAGTGAACAAGAGACTAGTGAGACAGCTGAAGAACATTCCATGTGGGGTGTGTGTGAGTGTGTGTGTGTGTGTGTGTGTGTTAAGCATTGACTTCTAGGAGAACAATACAAGCATACAAGAAATATAACATGTCTAAAAACAAAGACACATGCTTGCCATCCATGGTTGCTCTCTTTGTCCCAGAGTACACTTGCTCTAAGTAAGAGTATGTGCGTCTGTTCCCTGGGCCATACTCCTACTGCACTTAAGTGGACGTCTAGGCTTCCTTGGACCATCCTGTCTATGAGGAAAACCACGGATGAGGGAACACCAATGGAGCATCATCACAATACAGTTGTGTTGTGGGTCTGTTGAAATATATAAAGTAATTCTTTTTAAGTTACTTATTGTTCTATTGCAAACAATTAAAAATTAGGTAACAGCCCCTCTCATTTGGGTAAAGCTGTGTTCTCTAAAGCACTTCAAGCCAGATCTCATTTGACTGGAAGAACACCCTTCCTATTCTGCTTTAGCTGCCATAAGAGTACAACACAGTTTGGGTGTGATATAAATAAAACTTATTCTCACAGTTCTGGAGGTTGGGAAGTCCAAGGTCAGTTCAGTTCCTATGAGTGCTCTCTTCCTGGTGTGTAGACAGCCTCCTCCTGTTGTGTTCTCACATTGCCTTTCCTCCATGCTGTGGTGAAAGATCTCTTTTTCGGAACCGGCAGATGGTGTAATGGCTATTTTGCTGGACTCCCATGTAGTCAACCACGGTTCGAGTCCCGGTCCTGATGGCTTAAAATCATGCCAGATGTGTATGCATGTGTGCCCAAAATCCTGAGAGGAGAATGGAGGAGAAGGGACTGCGGCATAGCCATCCCCCCATCTCTGTTTGTCCCTGTCTTTCTGGCTAGTGCATGTGCCCTATAGCAAAAATCCCTCCCTGCCCCCCACCCCCCAATATCTCTTTTTCTTCCTTTTCTTATAAAGCCACCAATCTGATCAGATTAGGACCCCACCCTTGTGACCTCATTAAACCTTAATTGTGTCCTAAAACTCCTATTTCCAAATACTGTCACATCAAGGCTAAGAGTGTCAACCCAGGGATTTGGGGGTAGACACAGCAGCAATCCTGAAGTAGATAACTGAAGAGATGGCAGTGACAAGATGGATACACCTAAGATTAGGAAGCTAGTAAATATTGAACTCAGGTTCAGACCCAGCTGTTTTACCCCCCTCTGCACTGCCTTCTTAGTTCCAGATAGTGTCTGTTGGACAAAAATTTTGTCTTACACAAAGTAGAGGTCGCTAATGGATCACAAAGAATCTTCAAAGTTGACTTCATGTTTTTTATGTTGCATATTTGTGGAAAATAGGATAGATTTTTAAAGTAAAGTTTTATAAAAGAAAGTGTTTTTTAGATTTTTCAGTCAGCCGAATTCAGGTAGCCATAACACTGTGATCAAAAGTAGTAAGCTGAATTTTTAAATGGTAACCATATTAGAATGGTAGTGATCAGGCTAGAGTTGCCTTCTCGGC